CGTCTGTATAGTTGTAGTCACATGATAACAACCGTACGTGTTAGAACGTCTGTATAGTTGTAGTCACATGATAACAACCGTACGTGTTAGAACGTCTGTATAGTTTTAGTCACATGATAACAATCGTACGTGTTAGAACGTCTGTATAGTTGTAGTCACATAATAACAATCATGCGTGTTAGAACGTATGTATAGTTTTAGTCACATAATAACAATCGTACGTGTTAGAAAGTCTGTATAGTTGTAGTCACATAATAACAATCGTACGTGTTAGAACGTCTGTATAGTTTTAGTCACACAATAACAATCGTACGTGTTAGAGCGTCTGTATAGTTTTACTCACACAATAACAATCGTACGTGTTAGAGCGTCTGTATAGTTTTAGTCACATAATAACAATCATACGTGTTAGAACGTCTGTATAGTTTTAGTCACATAATAACAATCATGCGTGTTAGAACGTCTGTATAGTTTAGTCACATAATAACAATCATGCGTGTTAGAACGTCTGTATAGTTTTAGTCACATAATAACAATCGTACGTGTTAGAATGTCTGTATAGTTTTAGTCACATAATAACAATAGTACGTGTTAGAATGTCTGTATAGTTTTAGTCACATAATAACAATCGTACGTGTTAGAATGTCTGTATAGTTTTAGTCACATAATAACAATCGTACGTGTTAGAATGTCTGTATAGTTTTAGTCACATAATAACAATCGTACGTGTTAGAACGTCCGTATAGTTGTAGTCACATAATAACAATCGTACGTGTTAGAACGTCTGTATAGTTTTAGTAACATAATAACAATCGTACGTGTTAGAACGTCTGTATAGTTTTAGTCACATAATAGCAATCGTACGTGTTAGAACGTCTGTATAGTTGTAGTCACATAATAACAATCGTACGTGTTAGAACGTCTGTATAGTTTTAGTCACATAATAACAATCATGCGTGTTAGAATGTCTGTATAGTGTTAGTCACATAATAACAATCATACGTGTTAGAACATCTGTATAGTTTAGTCACATAATAACAATCATACGTGTTAGAACGTCTGTATAGTTTTAGTCACATAATAACAATCGTACGTGTTAGAACGTCTGTATAGTTTTAGTCACATAATAACAATCGTACGTGTTAGAACGTCTGTATAGTTGTAGTCACATAATAACAATCATACGTGTTAGAACGTCTGTATAGTTTTAGTCACATAATAACAATCGTACGTGTTAGAAAGTCTGTATAGTTGTAGTCACATAATAACAATCATACGTGTTAGAACGTCTGTATAGTTGTAGTCACATAATAACAATCATGCGTGTTAGAACGTCTGTATAGTTTGAGTCACATAATAACAATCGTACGTGTTAGAAAGTCTGTATAGTTGTAGTCACATAATAACAATCGTACGTGTTAGAACGTCTGTATAGTTTTAGTCACATAATAACAATCATACGTGTTAGAACGTCTGTATAGTTTTAGTCACATAATAACAATCGTACGTGTTAGAAAGTCTGTATAGTTGTAGTCACATAATAACAATCATACGTGTTAGAACGTCTGTATAGTTGTAGTCACATAATAACAATCATGCGTGTTAGAAAGTCTGTATAGTTTTAGTCACATGATAACAACCCTACATGTTAGAACGTCTGTATAGTTTTAGTCACATGATAACAACCCTACGTGTTAGAACGTTGTATAGTTTTAGTCACATGATAACAACCGTACGTGTTAGAACGACTGTATAGTTTTAGTCACATAATAACAATCATGCGTGTTAGAACGTCTGTATAGTTGTAGTCACATAATAACAATCGTACGTGTTAGAACGTCTGTATAGTTTTAGTCACATAATAACAATCGTACGTGTTAGAACGTCTGTATAGTTTTAGTCACATAATAACAATCATGCTTGTTAGAACGTCTGTATAGTTGTAGTCACATGATAACAACCGTACGTGTTAGAACGTCTGTATTAGTTGTAGTCACATAATAACAATCATACGAGTTAGAACGTCTGTATTAGTTGTAGTCACATAATAACAATCATGCGTGTTAGAAAGTCTGTATTGTTTTAGTCACATGATAACAACCGTACGTGTTAGAAC